ATCAACTACATTGTATTTGGATGTATTTATTATTGTAATTGGTAATGATTTTCAATATAACAATAAATTTTAAATTACACTAAATATCAAACTGAACAATTTTGTTTTATTTTTATTATTGGGGCAAAAAATTTATTATGTAAAGAGCAAAAAATACTTAAAATTTTAAAATATTTTAAATATTCCTTAAAACTTTCTACTTATTTTATTAATTTACTAACCATTGGATACCTATAATACCATGTTGAGGACTCAAGTCTTTACGGCTTTACTCGCGGCATCGAAGTTTCACATACTTGCATTAATTTCTAAGTTAATTTTTATGTAGTCCTTTATCGCTCTATGTTTTAAATTTTCTTTATCTCAGATAGTGTTCATTAACACTCTCTCCGTCAATAATTTTCGGAATATTATTCAGTAGAATATCGGAACATTGAATCTTTTACTCATTTTCTATGTCTTCTTATTATTTCATCATAGTTGAAACTTATTGCCATTATTTATTAATCAGAAAATTAAATGACAATATTTAGTAATGAAATATATAATATACTAATATGTATATTTTAAATTTATTTTAATTAATTTTTCATGTTAAATAAACAGTTTTACATAAAAAAAAAATGAAATGTATAATTTTAATTTTTAACATAACAACGTAAGTTTTATTGTTTAGTAGTAGCGTTTACTTATTAGAATTATAATAATAATAATAATCAAAGGTGAAATTATCAATTCAATTTGTAAATAAAATGTGTACTTCATGTAACATTAGTTCAATACAGAATTAGTTGTAATAATCCTTAAATTACCATTTACCATTAACAACTCAATGAAATGAAGAGTAAATAATATTAATAATGATTAAAAAAAATTGTTTAAATTTACATCATGATAACAGAAAATTATTCACTGTTATCATCTTCCTTGTTCTTCTCAGACTTCTTTTTCTTCTTTTTATGACGATGTCTAAATCCACTTCTACTACGAGACTTGTGTTTCCTAGAACGTTTTTCATGACTACGATTTCGAGAGCGATGACGATGAGACCTGATAAAAACATTTTTAATACTAAATATTCTAAATAATAGTATTTATTTTTTTTAAATTTACAATATGGGAATTTTGATAGTTTTTTAATTATTATTGCCGTCTTGTACGACTATTCATTTTTAATGCACCAACGCAGCCGTGGAAGATGATTATTTTTATTCTTGCCTGATGGCATACTTTACCTAATGTATTGAGTACATGTGTATAATCGACAATTTATTAAGTAAATTGAATAATACTATCACTGCACAATATACATATTATACATAGAATATTATAATATGTATAAGTATATAGGTTGTATAAACAATAAAACTATAAAAGGCTTTTTATTTTACAATGAACGTTAGTTACAATATTTTGCGTCGTAGGTGCTGCCACATTAGAAAATTGACTATCAGCATAATCTATATTACGTATCAATTATTGAAATACTTATGATGAATAATTTTGAAAATCTTAATGAAACGGTTATTATTTGTTATTATTATATTTACTGAGAAAAAAAAACGAATAGAATTAATTTATAAAAATTAATAATAATGATATATTTTGTTGTTTATTCACTACCCATATAAATTAGGAGTCTTTATGTATTTAGTATTTTCTAAGAATGAGTATGTATGTTCAAGAAAATAATGTTTAAGGTTAATAATTTTTTATTAAAATTTAATGATATTTTTAGTTTAATTATTTTAAATGTAATTGATTAGTGTTCCACTGTCTGTCTACTGTATAGTTTACAATATATATTTTACATATGTGTACTATTAAATATTTTATTTAAGAGCTATCATTAACACGGCAGACTGATGGATATTTCACGTCATAGACGAGATGTAATCGTCTAAAATATAATTATTTAAAATTAAATGAATAACTATAGAAACATTGAAGTTATTATTAGCTATTAATTATTTCATTGAGTACCTATACAAAAATACAAAATTGATTCTATAATTGTGTTTTAAAATTTGAGCTTTGACACTAAAAATTCAACAGATATAAATGGACGTTATATGATAATATATGAGAATAATTTGACTAAAATCAAACATGTTGTGTTTTCGTTTTATGCAACGATATTTTACACAATTATTTTATTTTTTTTTAATTTGAATTTTGGATTGGTACAAGATATTTCAGGCAAAAAAGGGAATAGAATTAACTACATTTTAAATTGTGATTTTAAATATTCTTTAATTTTTCATAAACATAAAGACAAAAAAAAAAACAAAAACAAAAAATAACAATAACTGTTATTTTTTCTTCTAAGTAACAACTTGTTTCTGTTACTATAGTAGTAACTGTTATAAATATAAATCACTGTAACTGTAACACCAACATCAACATCTAAAGAAACTTCGTCTAATGTGGCTCGTGCCAATGAAGAAAACATTCCAATCCCGTCTACATAAGGATTATCCATTATTTATATTATTAATATAATAACAAATTTTTAAAAGAAAAATAATAGTTGAAAAGTTCGATTGAAGTTCAATCAAGTAAGTATACTTTTGTAACATAAAAGTAGTGATGTATCTAACTATAGTAGTTTCTCATATATTCACTGCTAGATTTAATTATGGGATGAGTGAGTTTCACAATAAGTTAAATTGTAAACACTTTGACCTCTACACAAAAGTTTATTTCTTCTGATAGGTATGAAAAGATTACTCGTATATGGTAATTAATTATAACTTTGCAAAAATATTTATACATTTTAATTATTGCTTACATCAGGGGTCGGCAGCCTTTTTAACCACACGGGCCATTTTTTTTTTTCAATTGTTCATCAAGGGCCACATTAAAAAAAAAAATTACATATTATGATATAATACTTATAATTTTATTGTATTGCTATTATGAAACGGTTAGATAAGATTTTATTTATAAAGGAAAAATAATTATATAATATTGAAAATTATATGAAAAATGTTATTAAACAAAAGTAAAACACAAAAATTAACCACCTTTGTGCGGGCCATCAAAAATTGCTTTGCGGGCCGCGGGTTGCCGAACCCTGGCTTACATCATAGTATATAATATTTATTTTATAATTATTATTATAGGAATGGGAATATATCAAATGTTATTGATAGTTTATTTCATCTGCAGCTGAAGTAGATTTTCAATTAAATTCAACTATAAAAGCATTATTAAATGCAGCTCCGTTTCTTGGTAAGTTTATCTCGTAGACTGCCTGGTAGTATACGTAGAGAATGTGTTTTGTGCTCAGTACTGACTACCTAGTTCAAGTACTTCGCCGATATTGCAAATTTTCACAAATTTCATTCTTTGCACGTCTAATAAAATCTAACGTTATTAATATTAAAAATATGTAGCTTTACAAAATTACACTAAATGTGTAAATTATTATTAATATATTTTTGATCTTTTATTAGGAATGGTACTAGGAGCATATTTCTGGGGTATTTGTAGTAATTTAAAAGGAAGACGAATTGTTATCTTGGGATCACTAGGAATGGATACATTATTTATTATAGTTTCTTCTTTGGTACAGCATGTTGAATTGTTTTTTATAATAAGAGTAGGAAATGGATTTGCATAAGTTATAATAAATAAATATTAAATTATATGTTAGTGTATAGATAATATGTAATAATAACTAATAAGTATTAAATAAAATTGTTTAAACTGTATATATAAAATAAGAATCGAACTTTACTTTTCCTTAAAATTAACGTCTTGAAATTCTGCTATTTTGTATAAGACGACTACGAGAGTTGATTCCCAATTGTCGAAATGGTTCCTGGGTTGTCTACAGGTAACATATGAATTGGTTCCTGTAAGTTTTGATGATAAAAAAAATTAGTAGTATCATAGATTTAATAATCTAAGTTTATTTAATCTATGACAGTAATATGTATAAATACTATATATTATTATACTCGTATATTTTATAAATATGCATTAAACAAGAAAAAATGATTGAAAAATACAAAAAATGCAAAATAAAAATTTCACCTTTGAAGTCTCTGTTACATGAATCAAATTATAAACTTGGAAAGCATTGTTTAAGATTAACCAAAAAAAATGTATTTTGCAATGAAATCCGGGCCCCAACTATAAGTAATTTTATTTGGGAACCAATTCGAACAGTTGTATATTTGAATGTAATTTTTTCGAGAACCAATTCATACACTTTTATTTGACCCGGTAACCAATTCCGTATTACCCCTGTTATACAGTATCTACACAGCTATACCTACCCACATACAAATTTTTGATTTAGTACAATAATTTGATATTTTTCCTATGTTTTATATTATGGTGTTTTTTTATAAAAATATTAATTTCAGCATTATTGGAGCTACTTGCATGGTTTATGTGGTACATGGGCGAATTTTTAATACCTTCCAAAAGAGACAGTTATTTACTTTTTCTTGAATTATTTTGGGCTTTCGGAATGATGGTTGGACCCGGTTAGTAAATATACTTATTGCTATTAACATTTAAAATTAAAATATTGTTAAAGTTTTAAAAAGATATTAACTTTTATTATATTATGTATTAATTTATTTTTTAATTCTATATTATATTCATATAATAGCATAATACATATTATAACATTATGATCATAAATAGGATTCCGATCCTGATTTTCTAAATACAAAAAATAAAAGTATTTAGATGTTATTAAAAATATATATATATATATGTATATTTAATTGTTTGTACAATCTACTGTATATTTTTAATAATTTATAATATTTTTGAAAAAATAACTTAGTTCAACATTTCTTAAATATTATTGTTAATAAAATTGTATTTATATTTTATGTATAGTAATTAATAATCATTCTTATGTATACATAAGTAATTTTATTCTATTAAAAAATAACAAAAAAACATTATTATGAGTAGTAGAAATATTTACATCAAGTGCTGTTAGTAATAGCTACATTTACTATTATAAAAATACAAATTTGAAAACTGGTAGAGTAGGTATTAAAATTAGGATATTTTTAAATGTTTTGGTAAAAGTTATTTTTAATTGGAAATAGCTTATTAATTAAATATGAACTAATAAGTTTTTTCTTTTCAATAAGATCTAATACTTGATTTTTTTTTTTTTTTTTTTTTTTTTTATTGATCTAAAACACATCGACAGCTAGGCCATTAGTACAAGAATTTTTTTGATTACATTGTTGGTATTTTAAGTATTTACATTTTTACATTAAATTAAATTATACAATTCAGTTTTTTTTAAAAATAAAATTAAGTTTTTAATGTCCTGTGGGTTTGGTCCAAGTGCTTGACAGATTTGTTCGGAGATGTGGAATTGGTTTCGATATTGGTTGTATTTGTGACATTCGGTGATGATGTGGTTGACGGTTAAAGGAACGCTGCATGAGTCGCATAGTGGAGGATCATCTTTACTCATCAAGTAGCTGTGTGTTAAGTGTGTGTGTCCAATTCGGAGGCGGTTTATTATGGTTTCTTCTTTTCTATTGAGGCCGGGATTTTTCCATAGGTTAATATTATTTTTTATTTTGTTGAGTTTTGTGTTAAGTTTTCGCCAGTGAGAGTACCATTTATTATTTGAGTGTAGGTTAATTTCGTTCTTTGCGTCTGAGAATGTGATGGAATTTATGGTTTCAGTTGATGTAGAGACGATTGCATTGTGAGCTTCTTGGTCAGCCATTTCATTTCCGGGAATACCTATGTGTCCCGAAATCCATACAAAATGGATGTGTTTATTTTTTTTTTCTGCTAGGAAGGTTTCTTCTTGGATGAGCTTTGTGATATCAGGTTGGTTACGTGTATTTGTGATGGCGATTAAGTTGCTGAGTGAGTCGCTAAGTATTATAAATTTTGTTTGGTGGTTAGCATATTCTGTGTGGAGATATTTTACGGCTTTGTATATTGCCATCGCTTCTGCTGTAAATATAGAGGCTTGAGGTGGAAGTTTGTATGTTATTTTTTGATTGTTTATTATCATTGCAAGCCCGACTCCATCGTTTGTTTTGGATGCATCAGTATATATGTGCACGCTGTTTGGATGCTCTTGTAGTATGTTTTTGAGCATGTTTTTATATATGAAAGGCATTGTGTTTTCTTTTTTAAATTCAGTAAGAGAGAGGTTAACATTGAATGTTGTGTTCCATGGGGGGAAATTATATGGTTTTCTTTCTAAAATATTGCTTATTTTTATGTTTTCTTTTTCGGCTTTTTGTTTATATGTATTTATTACTTTGATGGCTGGGTTATTTATGTTTCTTTTAGTTCTGGCACAATATAGTAAAAGTAGTTTTTCTCTTCTAAGGTTAGGTGAAATTTCATTAGCAATGTTTCTAATACTCTCAATTGGGCTGGATTTGAATCCCCCGATTGATAATCTTATAGCAGTATTTAGTTTAGTTTGTATCATGTTTAAGTGGTTGGTTTTGGCATTTTTTAATAGTATAGAACCATAGTCTGTTTTTGATCGAATTAAAGCTTTATAGATCATTAAAAGAGATGAGCTGTCACCACCCCATGATGTGTGAGCAATTATTTTAATTATATTAAGTTTTTGAGATATTGAGTCGCGGATATTTTTTAGATGGGGTAGCCAATTTAGTTTGGAGTCGAAAGTTATTCATAGAATTTTAATTTTATTATGATGAGGTATAACTAGGTTATCTAATGTTATATTGAGAACTTTTATTTTTTTTTTGTTTTGTAAAGATAATACTTTTTGATTTGAGGTTAGAGAATGAGAAGCCAGTTTTTTTCGACCAATCAGTTAGGCTGTTAGCACTTGTTTGTAGAAACTCTTGGACAGTTTTTAGGTTATTGCTTCTGCAAAATATGTTGAAATCGTCAGCGAATAAATTAGATTTTACGGGGGCTTTTATTGTTTCAACTATGTCATTAATGGCCAAGAGAAAAAGTGTAACTGCCAGAGATGATCCTTGTGGAATACCGTTTTCTTGGCTGAACGTCTTTGATAAGGTATGAGATACTTTGACCCGGAATTGTCTTTCTTTTAGGAAGTTTGTAATATATTTAAACATGTTGCCATTTGTTAAAATTTTACTCAATAAAGTTAGTATTCTATGTCTCCATACAGAATCGTAAGCCTTTGTTATATCCAAACTGATCATTCCGAGTATTTGCTTATGTTCGAATGCATTTTCTATCTCGGTTTTTATTGTAATTAAGTTATCCATAGTTGATCTAGTGTGTCGAAAGCCACTTTGCTCTTTAGATAATATTTCGTTTTTTTCTAAAAACCACGTTAATCTTAGGTTTATGATCTTTTCCATAATTTTTGTCATTGTATTTAGGAGTGTAATAGGTCTATATCCTTCAGCAGAATGTTTATTTTTCCCAGGCTTAAGTATGGGTATTATTATTCCCTTTTTCCATTCTTTGGGTATAACACCTGAGTGCCAGGTTATAAATTAATACTTCTACTTATTATTGCAAACTAATATTATTCAGTATAAGCTATATTTTACTATTATTTTATTTTTTCATACAAATGTCTTATTAACTTTTATAATTTTACTATGCTCTTAAACTATTATTATTTTTTTTTCAGTTGCATTTATTGCAGTGGCGTTTTTACTTAAGTTGAAAGTTGGCGGTGATCATTAGGACATATTTACATTATAAAAAACCTATATTTTTAATTTTTGATTAAACCTAATATAAAAAAAAAAAAATGTTATTAAAATTATTGTTGTGCTTTTTTCTTATACCTCAGTAACATTAGAATATACTAGATAATAAAATATTAAAAAAAAAAATTCACAAAAAGTTTACTTTTAATTTTATGTATTTTGACAACTATACTTATTCTTATTTAGTAGTTAAGGTTAGGTTAACCTTCTGTCAAATAATAAGTAGTAAAATAAAAGTAAACATTTCATGGATTTTAGTCTTTTATTTAACATAATTGAGCAAAATAAGTTGCTAATTTATATTAAACTAACATTGTTTGAAGTTTGGAATATTACTTGAAAGTGAGTAGTCTATAGACACTCGTAATTATTGATTCGTCATTCGTCTAGTCATTTATTTTCACCGTGATTCTTTCTGATTTAAATGTCGGATTAAGTTACAGAGTTATTTGTTTTAAACACGTGTTTTAAACATGTTTTAATACAACTAAATAAAACAAATTTCAATTTGTTTTAATTATTTAAAATAAATGAATAAAACAACAAAGTTTGAAACAAAAAAAATTATAATTTTAATTTTCTTAAAAACGTATACTCTTATTTTATTCCTAATCATATATTATATACGTATTTCAAATTAATTTATATTTTTTGATTTTATACAATCAGTGAAACAACTTGTTCTTTATTTTCTCAAGAAATTTCTAGCAGAAAGGAAGAAGTTAAAACTATTGATAAAATAATTGTATGTTGTAAAACATACAAAACTAATTTAAATAATAAATATTTTTTAAATTGTTTTTAAGTGTTTTAAACAGCGCACAAAAAACAAAATGTATATAAATTGTTTTAAACAATAAGAACATGATTTTCGGTTTTTTTTTTTTTAAAACATGTTTTTTCCAACTTTGATTAACTATTGCTAATCAAATACTCATATTACCTTGAACTTTTATACCTACTGCAGGAAAAATTCACCATGTTATAACAGATGACATCATATAAAAAAAAATTATAATTACTTTCTGGTCAGAGTAAGAATAATAATAAGCCATAAGCTCGATTACCAAAAATACTTATCATTAGCTGCCGACCGACATTTGTGTATTGTGTATACATAATATGTACAACAATTATTATTCAAAGAAAATTAACCAGAGCGCAGAGGAAGACCAATGAATGCTAGTATGGGGTGGACGTGTAGGTGTTTATAATTTTAAGTATGTAAATATTGTAAACTTTAAAACAATAGAACCATGGATATCTTAGATTACAAATATTAACAGGGCATTCTCATATCTAATGTTTTTGTATTTTAAATAAATTCTAAAATGCCAGTTAAACACAACCAATTTAGTACAATTAATACAATATAAAATAATATCGACAACAACACAGTAAAAAATTGTAAAACACAAATAACAAATAACTTATAAGTAATAAAAATAATAATAATAAATTACGATCCTGTTGAACCATCAAATAAAAAAAAAAAAAACAATTATTTAAAATATAAAAAAAAATAAATATGATGATTTATAAAAGATAAATACAATTTGTAGAGCACAGACTGGTCAGTTGGCCCTAGCCTAAATATAATTAATACAAAAATATAGCGATTCGAGCACACAATATATATTATATAGCGGTGTAAAAAAATATGGTGGCGATTCGCGCTTTTAACGAAATAAAAATATTTTACTATTGGAGCATGAAAATAATAAAATATGCCCATGCGGACACGGCAATGGCTGAAACGAAATATTTAATAAGACTAAGACAGAAAAACTGATACAACAATATGCACAGACACGTAATGGGATAGCGCTGTGTAATTACACGAGCCCAGCGATCCGAGAGCTGTCACACCCACTCTCGACACAATTCGAACACCGAAATTCAAATGGTTACCCAACACAGTGTAGAGCGTGATGGAAGCCCCGAGTATTCATCACAGATCAATACAGTTTCTTGGACCAACCGATGTGTTCTTATTTTTGGCATGTAAATCACCAACGTAAAAATTCAACGGTCAGCATCGAACCCAGAAGCACGCCAGATGGGACCCCAAATTTTATATCTAGTTCCTATCGGTCTTCCTCATCATTTCTGGAATGAGTTAGATATTTTTGCATCATTCCATTGCTAGTTTTACAGAATTTTCATTCTGTTCTACCGAGCAACTTGATGCTTCTATCATCGTCAACTTTCGAACCAACCCCGTAGGGCGTTACGATACAAGGACTTCTCTCACTTATTCAACGTGTGTTGAGTGATATGTTTTCAAGAAATTCCTTAGTATCTTTATTCTCCGGCTCTATGCACAATTTATCACTTCTTATTTTCTTAATATTTTTAAGCCTTGGGATACATTAATAATCCTACAAATACAATTGAAATATTAAAAATGTAGGATTCGTAACCAGCCCTAATCACAGACTAATTGAAATATCTAAGTCTTAAGATCCACTTATTTTGTCTAGAACTTACAAAAATAATAAAAATAAAATTTAATTTATTATTATATGAAAGAAATATCGAGAATCCGCTATTTACGGATTATAAATGACAATAATTTAAAGTGGGATCTTCATATTAATAATATAGTCTGCAAGCCAGGGACGTACCCAAGGGGGTGGGAGGAGGTCCTAGTCCGGACCCCCCTCCCTCATTGAAATTTCTACATTTACACAATTGTTTAATAGTAAATAGTGTAATAAGAGTAGGTTTACAATTTATTTTAATTTCTCATTATCTTCAATATACAAAGCTTATAGATTATAATATATTATTATGTATAAACCGTGTTTAATTTATACCGACGATCAGGTATGACTGATTGTCTTATTCTGTGCTGATACCACGAACTGATTAGATAAATCAATCGCTGTAACATAATTAGTAAATCTCCAGAAGAATACTTCAAAATATCAATATTTATACCATTTTTGGATTCCTTTATAGATCAAATAAATAGTCATTTTATTGAACATAAATTGGTTTTAAAAGGTTTTAAAATGTTATTTAAAAATGAATTGGACAACAATAACAACGACATTTTACAATTGATAGATTTTTATAAAGATTCGGATAATTTAAGTAAACCTGATATTGTAATAGCAGAAATTAAGATGTGGAAAAATGTCTTAAAAAGAATTGAAAAAGATCAAAAGCCAAAAACTGTTATACAATTTCTACAATTTTGTGATGAAGACTTGTTCCCAAATATATACAAGTTAATAAAAATATTATGTATATTACAGGTCACGACATGTACTTCTGAGAGAAGTTTCTCTTCATTAAGAAATCTTAAAACATGTCAGAAATATTGTTTCAGAAGACAGACTAAATAGACTTGCGATGCTTATAATATTCATCGAAATAAAATCTTAACACCAGATGATATAATTGAGGAACTTACAAAAAAAAAAAAATAGATTAAAATTTTAAAATAATCATATAGTTATAATAATGTAATTTTTTTAACATTTTATTACCAAATAAAAATCGATTTAAAGTTATAGTACCTATCTATTGTAATAAACCTTTCTGTATATGTGCTGTGAGTGTGTGTATAACTATTGTAACTATTATTATAGTTATTAACATTAATATGTTGGTAACGAATTAAACTATAATTATAATTAGAGAACAAATGAAATAAAAATTTTGGACCCCCCCCCCATAAAAAATTCCTGGGTACACCTCTGCAACAAGCTACAATGCATAATTTATAAAATCGTTAAACTAAAACATATGCTGCTATTTAAATCTAAAACGTAATACATATTTTGCATTTTATTAATTTATTTTTCAATACAGTCTTCTAGTATGAAGTGGCGTCAAAGACAATAATATAAACAATTTACAACTAAATTAAAATTATACCATAAGAATAATCTTAAATAAGAAAATCTTAGAGGGCTCAATAAATCAAAATTATAAATTTTGAATGTGCCACCAATAAGACTGCTATATAAAAAATTACCTTAATGTTCGTTATTAAAAACTCAACTCATCTCAAATTAATCAAATCAATTTTTCTATCAGAGAATTTAGAGCTTATAATCTACCCGTTAAGTATGCTAAAAAATTATTTGGACAATCTTTTGTCTATTTTCCAGGTCAAAATATTTTTAACCAAAGGCTGATTACTTCAAAAAAAAAAAAAAAATATTTACTCCGGTTTGTTTGGTAAGAGAAAAATAGTGTAGAACTGGTTATTTTCTAATTTTTATTATTTAATTCTTAATTATTTAATATAAATTTATTAATTGAATATATTACATAATTAATATATATATATATATATATTACGTATTAAGTTAATTCCAAGTTATTTCACCTAAAATGTATTATAATACTATTTTCTATACTTGTATCTATATTATTTACTCATAATATTTTTGTTAATTTTCACATGTCTAAACTGTAATCTTTCTTTGCTATTTTAATTTTAATTTATTTTTCTTATTTCAATTTCAGATTGTTTAAAGTTAACCCTTTATTTCATCACTAGTTACGACTCAAAGAACTAGATAATATTGTATTTTTATTATGTGAATATTATATAAATAAATTAAATTTAAAAAAAGTTATACATGTTTAAAATACTCTATCAATATATCAATAATCAGTCATCTTCCCTCTCTATCCCTTAAACAAATTGGTATGAAAATAAAATTATCATATTACATTATGTGTAATCCACGTTGCAAAGCTTAATTCAAATTTATTTTAGATATTTTTTGGGCATTTTAATCTGTATCACGAATAATACACATTTTCTTTTTTTTACATTTCGGGCCCAATTATAAATTACAGTATTAGCTTTATCGTAGAAATATAAAATGTCGATGAGGTTAGGTTAGGTAAGTTGACTTTTATTACGCATTTGTCCACTATCAGTGACAATACTCTACAATTATGTTATGTTCAAATTTTCCTTGGGTTTTTGTTTAATCAAAAATGTAAATTCTAATAATTGTATATTTAATCAACAAATTTAACAAACTTGTTTAATAAAACAGATAGTCAACATTTGTTAGCTCACAAAAATCTATATGATTATTTTATTTTTAGTTTTTGGAAATATTAAATATAGAGCTGCATATTAGATTTCATATAGGTATTTTACATTGAGTAGTTTACTACTATGCGTGTTTTAAATGTGAATAGGAAATTATTGCGTACACGACTATAAGTATAATAAACGATGTAGTTGCACATAAAATGTATTAATCCTAAGGGTGTTATATAATAATTATTATTAGTGATTATGTATCCTGTATAAAACTATTATACACGAAAAAATTTCAAGTTTCATAATTATAGTATCAAACATCATATTTTTATTCATTTTTGAACTGTAAGTCAAATTAATATAATAATGTGATGAGGTTCGTGATTCATAAATTATGTTTTTAAATAAACCTTGTGCAAATAAAAATATGTATGAAATAATTATTATAGTTATAATATATATAATATGTTTTAGTAATATATGATGATAAGTCGTCTCTACTCAGAATCGATTTTAGTAAATACAAATTAATACGTGTTTTACAGTTACATTACAAGATACATTTGACACGTATCTTACAATAAGGCAGTTACCTAAATACTTACTAACTCTTTTCAAGTTGACTAATCTGCTTAATATCAAAACTGATATAATATAAGTACAATGATGAAAGTAACAATTAATTTATTAAGTTAATTCTTCAAATTAGTTTACGATGTTGACAAATATTAGTAGATAGTTATTATCTTAACTAGGTAGGTACTCACATGTAATTATAGTATAATAAGTGACAATTACAAAAAACATATTAAATTTATTCAAGAAAAATTTCTAAGTAGCAGTATTATAATATATAAAAAATAATAATCAAAATAAATGAATTTTTTTTTTAATACTCCTGAAATTTCTAATACTTAAAATTTAATGTGCAAACAAAAGTTATTATGAATGTATCTAATGTGTAGCTTATAAAGATCAAAATATAATTAATTTAAATACTTAACCTAAGAGTGAATTTGATGGTATAAAATGTAAATTTTTCTTCTTTAATTGATTTTTATGATAATAAAATAATTATTTATATAAGTATCTACACAGATATACAACATACGATATACTAAATGATTATAAAACTATAAAATAATTTTTATAATAAATTAAATTAAAAGATGGATTTAATAACATTTTATTAATTATATACAATTCTTCATTATACATTTCATTTTTGGGTATCTAATATACCTATTTTATACATTTATACCTATTTAATACAATTTCATGTTCAATAAAAAGAAAAACTTAGTTACAGCAACTGTGCCTTTTAATATAAAACTAATATAGGTAGGTAGTACCTAATTGTTAACCTAATTATGAACAAAATGATATATTAATACCAACGGTAAGGAATTATTTCATAGATTTATTTACTTGATTTCTGCAAAACAGCAAATATCAAAACTGTTTAAATGACAGGTTATAAAAAACTAAATTGTCAAATAAATTTCCATGTTTTGTAAATTTTATTGAAAATGTAGATCTTAATATTAAAGTAAACATATTATGAAATGCTATAAAATGACTAAGCCTATATAATTGGTGTTTTTCATTTAAACTGATTAAAGTCATAAATTTAATAATCATACGAGCCAAAAAGAAAAAAAAATTGTTTTTACTAGTGTTTATAGATTATACTCAAATTATAATGAGCAAAATTACTCATTTTAATGACACAACTAACGTATTACGTTATCTTAGTGTACGATAATTATATTTATTTATAGATAATAACAAACTAATATACTACCAATAGTTAATTCAAGTTATGAGTTCATAAAAATATAATGTTAAGTAGGTACATATAATAATATAAAAACTCTAGTTGCAATAAAAAAAAGTATTTAAAGCGTGCCATTTGAAATTATCATGTCACTTTAGCAAGTTCCATCGCCAATCTAAGCAGCAACCGATATCAAATAATCAGGTATGTACTAATATATAATTTTAATTTAATTAATATAAATAATTTTAAATTAAATAAAAAGCCATAAATATTATGAAAACTATCATTCTATCATAATTTTATAAAATGCTTGATTCGTGAACTAAACAAATATTTTTAATTATATTTTTATATCATGTACCTATTAATCACGACATAATTAATTTTTATATAATTGACACACACAAAAAAAAAAAAATAAATATATTTCGCCATGGGCATAAAATTAATTTATTTCAAAGTGTACAATACTATTTCAATTCAACGTAAATTATTACATGGCTTTTTTTTATCATTTTAAGATTATTATCAACATTTAAGTTAACATAAAATTTGATTTAGTTATAAAATAAAAATAAATGACAACTCAAAAAATATTTACGTCTAACAACTATTATTTGATATGTATAATAATTTATATTAAATTTTTTTAAATAAATAATTAAAATAAAATTATAATAACAGTTTTTTTTACATTTTATAGGAACCTTATTCTAAAATTTAAATTTTTTACGGTCATTTAAAAAATATACTTTTTATGAGAATATTATTGTTCATGGAGTTAGGTATAAGCAAAAATGTCTATTATTATGGTGTAAATCAAATAATATCCAATGACAGGGTAAAAGTTGCGTTAATAACACCGTGTTATAATGTTGTTTCATTCTTTAGTAATAACTAATAACTAACTAGCATTTCAATTTATTTCGTATAGCTGCTATAAGACTTCTGTTATTCGTGGGATATCCCGATGTAAACGTAATGATAAGTGGAATTAAATTATTATTAAACATAATTATAAAAAGAAAAACATATTATACGTTGGCATTTTCAAATAAAATTATTTTTCTTTGGAATTTCTATCATGAAATAAAAGCGAAAGATACAAACAAGTTGTTAGAAATACTAATTTTAATCTAAATAATGAATTTTGATCTTGTCACATAGTTAAGAACAACAATATATTTTTTATTATTTTCTGATACAATGTATTAACTTTGGTTATAGGAAAATGTTTCTAATGCAAGTATGTGTTATTTTGTCAACGATGGTAATATTCAATCAGGCAGCAATACTGAATTACAAGAATTCACTTATAAACCCTAACAACGATATTATGCAGATACCAGGACATGATATTACCGGTATCCATAATACGCATCCTCCTTCAGTGCCTATTTTAAAATTTAGTGATATAGCAAAATTGAACCTCATGAACCTAATTAAATACTCAAAAGACGAAAGGACGTCGACAACAGAAAAAGATGATTCAACCGGCATTACTCAAGTCTCTCCAGTGACTATTCCAGTATCAACAGATACTTCATTAACTACACAAACATTAATTCCAACTGTAACCTACTCAATGGATACTCCCAAAGTTACACCAATCACCCAACCTACCCCATTACAACCAATATATACTACCGGTATTACGCAAGCCTCTCCAGTGACTATTCCAGTATCAACAGATATTTCATTAACTACACAAACATTAATTCCAACCGTAACCTACTCAATGGATACTCCCAAAGTTACACCAATCACTCAACCTACCCCATTACAACCAAAGTATACTACAAACACTTTACCTACAACTCCAAACTACTGATTAAAATCATAATATCAAAATTATATTTGCATCTCCTAATCTTATACCAGTTTTTGATAGCTCTTATAAGCTTGAATTGCCTTTTAAGGTACTTCCTTTTGTCTCTTTTATAGAAACGTTCAATTTTGTTTCCTAGATAAATAACATCAATCCTTCTAATAATAAATTTTACATTTTTACTAAATTTACTAAAAACCAAGTAATCTTATACTATGCATATTATTTTAAATCTATTTTATTACTATTATCATGTTCTATGTATGTGTACATTTTTTATCATATTGACTCAACATTTTTTATTATTTAACGACTTTATAGTCATTACTGTACTATTATTATTGTATTTAATGTTATATTTGAACCAAAAATAAACTATTATTTTATTATATTGTATTCTATATCTAAAAAGTCTTAAAACTTTCTCCAAAAGTGTTAAATATTGTCCAATTAAAAAATTCACATTCGTTAATGCATTTTTATCGAGGAAGTTTGTTTATAAAATACTATGAAACCTAGTATTCATAATTCTTTCGACTTAAGTAAATAATCTGCTTAAATCTTCTTTCTTCTTTACGAACCCTATAATATATATACGACATACGTATATAAACCAATTATATAACACACTTATCGTACAGTGTGACTACATGTTTTTGTTTTTATTAAATAATTAATAACAAAAGTATGTAGAAGCCAGGACAAAGAGCATGAACATTGTATTATTTTAATTAAGTTATTTATTTACACATAGTCACATGTCTATTGGAAAAGTTAAAACTCAGTGTCTCAATGATAAGGATACCAGTCGAAATCATACTAAATCATCTATGAGACCATTTTTGACAATAGAATCACCACCACCACGACCACTACTCTTTGTTATCTGATCAATTATAAAGAGGATCGCTGTAAGAGCTCAGCAGATGGTTAGGAATATTTGAGACATTCAAAAACAGGTTTTAATATCACTCACAGTCTTATTTATCAATATCCTAGAGTCAGATCATAACACCGCTCACCATTTCATATCTTTTATATTGTATTTTTGTATTCTAACTTCTAAATTAACGTTAAATATGAAAATGCACTAATATATTACAACATTTTCAAATATGCTATTTTTTTGAAGTGTGATGAAATATGCAAAATAAAATGTCGTATTTAAATTATTAACTTCGAGAATAATTTCTATCATACCTAGAGAATTCTACGGGGATTAATTAAAAACATATGCAATAAGTCTCGAACTCTATTTATAACTTTTAAAAGTTTTTAAAAAAAGGGTTATACAATTAAAATTATACTCAATAAAAAATATTGAGTTCCAGATTTTAGCATTGTTATTTAATGCTTAATATATAATTATAACCGATGAAATGACAATCCGTATTGTAAGGTCAGCACTTAGAAATCCATTACCTATTTAAAACATTAAAACGTAAGACTTGTGGATTTTTTTAAATTCAACCAGAGAAAAGGGATAGTGAAAAAGCGTTTCTACTGTTAAAGAAAAAGCTAGTTCTTTAGAAGCACAAAGACTTTTGAAAGCCATTTACTACATGTCTGGGTCTTGTTTTTACCAGTGTATGTGCACTACCTAACTAAGGAACAACTCTTCTTTTCAACAACAAAAAATTATGTGAGTAACAAATAGACTTTTTTAATAGGATGCAATTAGTGTGGTTGTTATTTTAATTCACATATTTTGAGTGTGTAATTTATATCATCTTATTTTACTGCAGCAAAAATGTATATAAATAGCTGCAAACCAGTTATGATGTATATGTATTAGTATATTACATAATATATATATATATATATAATTAATATTTACAATTTACATAATATAGTTTATCGTACGAAATATTTGATAAATTCAAGTGTAATATTTTTTAAATTCATCAAGTGGGGATATTATAGCTCCACATTATCAACAATTAATAAAATTTGCTTTCAATGTTTTTCAAGATTTTTGTTCCAGTCTTTCAACCACGAAATAAATATTCCTGCTGTCATCCATGAACTTTTAGTTACTAAATAGGAAACAGGTAAGTTTATTTTTTTTTATATTTTTGAAAGACCTTGACTATGCGGACTTTCCGATTATTAACAGCATTTATTTATCAGTGCTCATCATATTACAACAATATAAAAATTTTATATGGTCCATAGCTTGTTTCGATCCTTCGAGTGTTTCACTTTTATAGCACTAAGAACCATCCAGAGTCGCTCGGTAGATTAACTTAGTTTTTTCGGTTTTATAAATATCCCGAGAATATATTTTTTTAAGAACTTTCGATAATTTAGCTAAAGATCATTCATCAGCTCCATTTCTTTCAAAAATTGATATTGCTCAGAAAAATCACTTCAATTTAATATTATTCCGATCCTTTAAACGACTAATTCAACCTTCTGCGATCTTAAAGTTACCATGTCTTTTTTTCTTTTTTTTAGTAAAAAATTCGTGTTTTGCTGTAAAATAGGGCCCAAAATTCGAACACCACGCTTAGTAACAGCAGAGAACCGTCTTTTCATAGCTTTTTCCACTTTGAGATCTTTGCTTTCTCGCTTCATTTTTCTGTTTACAGGTGCCCTTTTATTGTCACTTTTTTTTTAACATTGTGAAAAAATAGACTTTTAATTTTATTTTTATCAGCTACTTATCGATTTATATGTATCTATTGACTATTAATTTCTCAAACTTACAAACACTAATATTTTGAGGTCCAGCTTTTATTTTATCCACTACAAAAATTTTTCAATTAACGTTTAATCTTACGTTACGATACATTATTAGATATTAACTCAAGCTAGGATCAATAAAACCAATACATAGAACCAAAAGAACAAGAACTAAAATTTATCGATGAAGTAATTTTATATGACATGTATGCTATTCGGCTATTATCTTCAAGAACTACATGGTAGTAGGAGAAAAAAAATAAAATACGCAACATAAAATGTATATGCACGTATATAAAATATAATAGAGCTATAAAAATAAAATAATTACAAGTTTCGATAAGAAAGTAGATAATTTAAGTTCAAATATCTAATTGAACACTTTTATCTTTGTTCTTTATAACCAATTGTTTATGTCCAAAAAACGAAGTTAAATTGCCCGAATTCGGGATTATGCCAATTTATCCCTATTAAAAGCTTGTCGCCTTTATGCGATGTCCCAATTAGAGGTAAAGATTAAAATTAATTTTAAAATAAAACCATGCAAAAGTTGTCAAAATTATCTTTTTGTTGTTACACGGCCTTTATTAAATATAGTTAATTTACTAAAACATATTCAACTTTGATGTTAGTGTACTAGTTCTTAATATGACTCGTAACGCAAGTTGCGTGTTAAAGATGATTTTTAACACTTAAGTATACAAAAAATCAACTAAGAAGTATGATGAGCAATGAACACTTAGAAACTTTCATGGTAATGGACACCGAAAACAAAATACTAATCACACTTAACAATAATAAAATAATAAACTCCATCAGAGAAAAGAATAAATTATTAAACAAATTATTGTTATAAATAAAACAAAAAACATACCTAGTTATATTTAAGCTAAAATAGTATGTTTTTTTGTAAGTTGGTATATTTATTTTTATTTTATTAGAACATATTAAAAAAAAAAAAAATTAAGATTAATATATTTTAGATTTCAGTTATCAAATTATATTTGCATATATTTTTGACAAACATATGCAATATAAGATATTTTTTATTTAGCTATATAGATTTGTATAAGTACAAAATTCAATACATAAATAGATAAAATAACATTTCTATTCAAAAGATGAAAATGCTGAGTGGTCTGGAGGAGATCAATTTTCCTGGCCTGAGTTATTTTCTCACTCCCCTCTAGGTCATAGTGCTACAGTGTTTTATTTTTAAAATCATAAACTTATAATAAAAACAAAGTTTATATTAGATTTATATAAGATATGCACCGTAGTTTATAATGTATGTTAAATTTAATTTCGCACGTCGTGCCTGTGCATGACAGTCGCGGCCTGTAGACACGCCTATGATAGTATATTGGGTACCTACTTACAAGTGTATCTTAACAGAATGTCAAGAATATGAATATTATGAAAGAAACACACACCATATAGGTACCATAGCAGATAAAGGAAGCTTTTACAACAATAACTTTTAATCGATCCTAAAATATATTAGATATCAACTTCTTAGAGCAAATTTAGTAAGTAATTTAATTTACGTAAAAAACATATTGTATAAAAGATTTCAAACTTATGTTGGTGTTGTGGATCATCAAAAACAAAACATACTCACTGAATTTTTCTATATTTTAAAAATAAATGTACCTTTATTTTTGTTTTAAATTGTTATTTTTATCATTTTAAATGATCATTCTTTTTTCAAAACGTATTATATCTGGAATTAACAGAATTTAAGCATAATAATAATAATATACTTTAAACTATTTTCTTCTTTTCTCCTTTTCAGTATTAATTAATTTACATAATATGTAATAATATCAAATGAAATAATAAATAAATAAATAACAATTTATTTATTTACTTTATTGTTATAAATCTGGCATTTATTAAGCAGATTTTTCTTTATAAGTGAAATTTATTTTTAGTTTCCTTCCTGAGATTTACTTTTTATTCTACTCTGATTCATTTATTTTAGAACTATCACTATAAGGTTAAGTATTTTTTTTTCTAGATAGATATCAATATTTTCTAAACATAAGCTTTGAACATTTCATAATTATTTACAAATTATTAAATTTTTATGATAAACTAAGCCGCTAAATAATAAAATGTTATAACTTTCAACATGATTTAAAAATATAATACTTGTTACCAACAATAATGATAGGCCCCTAATTTGATAACACATAACACACTATACACAAGGATAGAACACGATTCCGCACGTTCATTGTTCGATATTACCTTTTTTTTCTACCCAAATACTTATTGTATTTGATTGCGACGTTGCCATGAGGAATACGATTCCGCCCTTTTTTTCTTTTAACATGAGATTGATACAATTAGTGCATAATATTTAGGTACCTGAACTTTTCCATTTCTTTACTACGATATTTCAAGTTCAAACTAATTAATATTAAGATAATTTGGGTCTTTTGATAAAGTCGATAAAGATAACAATATACTACAAATAGACGGCAAATGGACATCGTATGGTGCAAAGGCGAAACTATAATATTTTAGGTA